GGAGGGGGAGGAGGAAGAGAAGAAGAAGATAAATGTACCAATGAATTTACTGTTCAAAATATATGCACATCCTACATTTTAAAGAAAGCAAACTCAAGTGCGTTGCATAAATCACGCAGAGGAGGACGCGGAGCCCTTGATCTCCGCCTGCGCTGGAGCCGGCTGGCCCTGCTCCGCCTACCTGGGTCTAGACACGTCTCCTGGTAGTCCAGACAGCAGTTCCCGAAGTCCACACAGGCGGCGTCGCAGCGACAGTTCCCAAATGTTCTCTCAAAACAGCGGCCTTTGCAGCTTTTTACTGGAAATAGGAACGGGGCGCGCGTTTCCAACTGTTACACAATTACCAGGTACAGCGCAGGGTAACGGTCTCTTGGGAAATGGCCGGGGAACAGCGACCCCCGGCTTCTTTCACAAACGTGCATGAAAAGGGACACACACAGAGAAACGCAGTTTCGTCTCTTGCTATAGACAAAAGAAAACATCTTTCAAAAACTTCATTACAGAGCCTACTGGGTCTGATCAAACTTCATAACTGTGTATAATAGAGAAAGGAATAAGGATGGATTCTAAATTTTTTTATGCTACGATAAGTTGGTTAAAGAGCTATGATGTCCCCTAAAATTTCTTTCTTTTTTTTGGTACTGGGGATCAAACTCGGGTCCCTGAGCTTGCAAGGCAGGTGGTGCAACCACTGAGCTAACTCCCCAGCCCGATCCCCTAAAATTTCAAAGCGTGAGGATAGTTTCTTTAAACAGGGTCTCGCTAATGTAGTCCAGGCTGACCTTGAACTCACTGGCCTCCAACTTATGATGATCCTCCTGCCTCAGCCTCCCCAGTGCTGCTGGGATCAAAGGCATAAACCACCATGCCGAGCGAGAATGAAATTTAAAGAGCAATTATCTAGGAATATTTCAGATAGGAAAAGGATCCCTCCCTCCCTTACTCCCTCATTCTTGGCGTAAAGGAGCAGTGTGTGCAGAGAACACGGGGCCCCGCCGTCCCTTCCACCAAGACCTACAGGCCCTTTCATCTTCACGCCAACCCTCACCCTTCGTCAAGCTTTCCCAAGATCCTGGCCTAGGCCTGATCGCTTTTTTAAGGTTCTTATAATCTGGGTCCTTCTCCTCAGTCACATCATTCCACTGGGAACAAGTTTATCCGGTTACTGCCCCAGACTAATACTAGACTACGAGCTTCCTAAGCCCAAAGACCATCTGGACTCCAACCCCAGTACCCAGCAAGTGCTTGCTGTAGAGTTAGTACTAAGTCTTTGCTAAATAAATGAATGGCATATATGGGAGGAAAACACTTTTCATTAAAAATAACAATTTTAGAGCCAGATGTAATGAAGGTTGCCTGTAATTCCAGCACTCCGGAAGCTGAGGCAGGAGGATCGCCCTAGGTTCAAGGCCAGCCTGGGCTACATAGTGAGACTCTGTCTCAAAAAATAATAATAATAATAAATTGAAAATAAAAATATCAACTTTATAATTTTACTGTTCTATAAATTTATAATTCTACTCTTGTAACTATTAGATCCCCTAAATAAAGTAGATTTTTATTGGGTCATTAGAAAATTAAGAAAAGAAAAAAGAGAAAAGAAACTACATCTAAAATAATGGTCAGATAACCAAAAAGAAAAAGGGTAGGAGTGAGCTTAATTCTTGACTCTAATGGTCTATTGACTCCACAAAATAACTCCCATGGAATTTAAATCTCATGGGACACTGCTAAATCAGGCAAATTTAAGGGGAAAAAGTAACAGCAGTAATTTCTAGGGTCAGATCTACTAACTCTACTGTCTTAAGAGAAAGGAAAAACTGTTACAATGATAACTACTACACTTTGAGCTTGTTACCATGCACCTAGAAGATTTCAGAAATACGATTCATAATACATTGGGCTTGGATAAAATTGCAATCCTTTATTTTGATGTCAAATTACATTCAAAGCAAATTATTTCATATGATGAAAGACTACTTTTGCTAAAATAAATATATTTGTCCTGAAGAGTCTGGTAACCGAATAAAAATGACTACACTGCACTCATTTTGACAATGTGGCAGACTAACAATCACTAAAACTTTTAAGTGATGGTCACAATTACAGAATAATTAAGCAGGGAGGACAAAAACTTGCTCAATTTTTAAAGGGAATTCCCAAGGAAAACCAGGCAGGATTTTACAGGGGGAAAGATATCCTGAGCCAAAAAACTGAACACTGCAAAGTGCTGTGATTCAATTAGATTGCTTAATCTTGTCAAACATGGGTAGATTTCTGCCCTTGATTTAAAGAAAAACAACCAAAACCTCAACAATTTCACAATTACTCTGAAACCACCCATGTCTATTATTTTAAAAACCCCAAGAGTTGGTACTGCTCAGTGTCTGGTTGACTAATGGAGCTAACTTGTTACCTAGAAACCTCCAGGGCCACTTTCGCAACTTTACTCCAGGGGAAAGGAGCCCCTACTTCCCGGAGAGAGGGTTCGTGGCACAAGGGCCAAATGGCCATGTCTGCCTGTGTTTTTGTTCTTATGTGACTTTTTACTACTTCGGACTCTTGAGTTGTTTTACGGTCACAGCCCTTTTCCTTGTTTTGGGTTAAAATTTTGCAAGTAAATAAAATTTTGTATGGCTAAAATAATACAAGAGCTTCAAGAAGGGTCAAGCCAGCCTTCTCAAGTTTTCAGTATCTGCTAGACATGGTGGTGAACACCTGTAATCCCAGTACTAGAGAGGCTGAAGCAGGAGGATCACCATGAGTTCGAGGCCAGCCTGGGCTACACGGTGAAAGCTGGTTCCCTCCCCCAAATTATGGCATTTGTGGAAGATGCATAGGATCAAGATATAATATTTATCTCAATGATGCTGAGAATTAAGACTGGAGAGACAGAGAGAGGCAGAGAGAATGAATGAGAACTACGTACCTTCTTTGGCACAGCTTGGTTTCAACCCAAATATACAACCGAGGATTGTCGTTAACACACATACTGACAAAACCTGTACCAGAGGAAAAAAGAAAATAAGACAGCGTCAATATCCCTTCTATTTCTCAAAATATCGTATTTCTCTAAATGTTTCCTAACCTACTGGTGCTGCTCTGTTTCCTGGTCTTGCTGCAGTCACGGGGACAAGCTCATTTTTTCAAAATGTCAAACAGTATACTCGGGATTTATATACTGTTCTGCACATTTTAGCTTAATAAAAAGTTTCCTAAAATATCAGCAAATAACCTAGAACAGCCCAAGTAAGTGGAATGAGAAACACCTCAGATAGTAGAAATGAACCAGCCAGAAAAATTACAGTTTCTGACTTGGTCATTCATTAAGGGCAATCTGAAAATATTACTCACCTCTTAACACTAAAGTGCACAACCCTAAGCACGCGGGCATCCACATCCTCCCTGCCCTCTGGCCGTGTCTGGGAAGAAACACTGCCGATGACCCCAAATCTTAGTGGAAACTGGTTGTATGCTTGGGGGTGAGGTCCTTCTGCCTCAGTTTCATCATCTCTAACATTAAAGGGTGGTACTACCCGAATCTCTAGAAACCATTCCAGTGCTAACGTTCTGTCATTTTCTTATTCCCAGCTCTACTGGGCTTTGAGACTTTACAGTAACGAACACATCTGTCAGCCTCTGAGAACAAAAGAACTTCTGTGGGTCAGAAGACAGTGAGCAATACCTTTCATGAAACAATCCTCATTTTTTTTTTTTTCAAGCAGGATAGCATTTCCTGGAATACTGGCTTTCAGGGAAACTCAACAAAATTCATCTAAATACTATGTTGTTCTCTGAAGAAGAGAATAAGAGATACCTCAGGGAGCCTCCAAGTGTGTGGGAAAAGGTAGAGGTAGGAGCAAAAATGACCCATCTCTGATGAGCTCCATGAACTGACTACAAACTTCTGTAATTATTTAAAGAAGGAGAAAGACTGAGGTGACTGAGGGGAGATTCCAGAAATAGCTTCACAGAGAAGCCTTTGGCACAACTCTGAGCAGAAGTGCTAGTATGCTTTTTGTTTCTTGTTTTGGCACCGGGGATTGAACTTGGGCCCTTGCACTTTCAAGTCAGGCGGCAGAATCACTGAGCCAAATCCCCAGCCCCTAAGAAGCACTAGTATGATGCAATGAGGTGGTGTGGGAGGAAGAGGAGCGGATGGAGCCAAGCACCCATGTAGGAGGGAGATCAGAGTATGGAAGGCTGCAAGGAAGACATGGGCAAAGTGGCAGGTGGACATTGAGCAGCATAGTATGGGGAACAGCCAAATACAAAGCAAAATAGATGGTGGAAGTACGGAAAGCCAATGTGTTACTTCAGGAAAGCTGAGGGAAAAAGATCACAGACAAGACAAATGGGCAAGTGAAGTGTTATGGTTTAGAGCTAAAATGTCCCTCAAAAGTTTCCAGACTTTCGAAGCCTGGTCAGAGGGGGCAGGTCACTTAGGCATAATCTGGGTATCTCTATTCACTGCCGTGCCATTTCTGACTTGGAGCCAATTGACCATGGAATGAAATGTGAGTCAAAGTAAATGTCTCCTCCATTAAATTGTGGGTGTCAGGAATGTTGTCTCAGGGATGGGAAAGTGACTAATACAGAACATTGGCACCAGGAGTGGGACCACTGCATCCAATTATGTGCTTTGGAAGCTTCTGGATCAGGACTGGAAAGCTTTGGAGATGCGGGCTACAGAAATGTTGTACACAGATCCTGACTGATGATTCTGGTTGGAGCTCAGAAGGCCAGAATGCTGACAGGAATGCAGGCAGTGAAGTCCATGTTCAGGAGGTTTTAGCTGGGAACAAGGGCTCCACTGGCAATTGGACTACAGGCCATGTGAGTTACACTAGGACAAAAAATTTGTCTACATTTTACCCTCCTGAGACTTTGCAGGTGACTGAGATGAAGGGTGATGGACTAATTGATCTGGCAAAGGAAATTTTAAAGCAGCTCAATGTGCAGGTTGTAGCATGGGCACTGATGGCTGCTTCTCACCAGTGAGAATCAGAAGCCCAAAAAGCAGAACTGAAGATTCAAAAAGTTTGCAGTTTCACACTGAAGGAAACACCTGCAAATTTGGGGCCCAGGTGACCATGGAGGCTAAAAAGATAAGCATTAAAAAAGCAGCCAAGTATTTTCCACCAAGAGAAGGGGGAAAATGGCTGGAAGGATCGCAGGAAATTGTGAGATCCGATCCATAACAGCCTCAATGGGAGTAAAAAAAGTAAACTCATTTGAAAGACTTTCCTTTGTGAAGACAGCCCAAGGGGCACCTATTCCTTCAGGGCTACCTAGACAAGTGTTTCCTTGAGTTCAGCCATCCAGACACTCAGAGGCCATTGGCGCCCATGGTCCATGGGGGAAGAGGCTACTATTGGAGCCAGCAGCAAACCCTGGATTGATCCATGCAATGCTGGTTTTTCGGGCACGCAGAATGCAAAAGTCACGGGGTCGTAAAAGCTTCTACCTAGATTTCAGGAGAAGGCCTGGGGGCCCAGGCAACAATGTATGTATGACAAGGTTACTGTGATTGCCAGGAGCCCCTCAGAATGTGATGCTTAAAACTGTGAGAGTGAAGCTAAAGGTGCAGTAGAGGGCCCAGGAAGTTGGAGATGCTCGGAATGTGGCTCATCTGCTGAGGACAGCTGTAGGTAGGAGGAGGCTGTGTGCATTACAACCGGTAACGCATCAGGGCAGAGCTGCCCAAGACCTTTGGAACTCATGTCTCACCACGGCCTGCCACAGGTGCTGGGCTTGGAGCCACAGGGCTTAGCATTTGCCCGGGTGGGTTTTGGTCCTTCTTTGCTTTGACTCCTTTCCTTCCCCTATTCTTCCCTTTCGGAATGGGAATGTTTACTCTACGCCACTGTACTTTCTTTTTCATTTTCACAGGGGCTCACAGCTGTTTGTTTCCAACCTCAGAGGAGACTGTCTGCTCGGACTTCTCAGCAACTATGCAGTTATCAAAACCTTGGCAACTCTTAGAAATGCGCCAAATGTATTTTTCGTAATGAGGTAGGCACGGGCCTTTGGGGGAGCAGGGGTGGAATTTTATGGTTTGGATTGAAGTGTCACCCAAAAGCCTTGTGCTCAGGGGTGGGGCCTGGTCACAGGGACAAGACCTGAAGGGTGCATTCTTGTTCCTGGCTCTTCTTCCTTCGCTCTCTGCTTCCTGGTGCCATTTCTGCCTTGGAGCCAAGCAGCCAGGGACCAAATGAACCTCTCCTCCTTTAAATTATGGGTGTTGAGTATTTTGTGCCAGAGATGGGAAAGTGGCAAGGTGGACGGTACATGTGTAGACAATTACAAACTCATTCTTTTAAAAAATGGGGTTCCACCTGGGCGTGGTGGAGCACACCTGTAATCCCAGCACTCGCTGTGAGTTCGAGTCCAGCCTGGGCTACATAGTGAGTTCCAGGTCAGTCTCAACAACAGAGTGAGACCCTGTCTCAAAAAACCAAAAAAAAAAAAAATGGGGTTCCATTCTGTCATATGAAATCATTCCTTGACAAAAATCCTGAGGACTGACCCTGTGCTTCTGACATAATATATGAATCATATAGTTATACATGAAATTACACATTAACATGTGTAGGTAATTTAATATCGTATATTAAATAATAATACATTATTTTAGTATAATATATAGATTCAGTCAATCACAATCTGAAAATATTAAACAGAAAAATCCAGAAATGTATCTATAAAGAATGGATAAAGCAGATATGGTATTTATACGTAATTGAGGTCCACTCTGTCGGAAAGAAAGACAAACTTGAGTCACTTGTAGCAACTTGGAAGCAACTGGTGATGAGCCCCACAGTCCTCCTGGCCAAGTCAGAAGCGTCTGGGGGCCGGTGACCCCTCTCCGTCATTGGTGCAACTGTAAATGAGGACAGCCCTGTGGAAATCAGTATGGAGGTTCCCCAAAAAACTACCACTGAAGTTCTGTTTGACCCAGCTATTCTCCTAGGTGTCTTCCCAAAAGAATTGAGGACATCCTATTACAGTGATCCACACATTCCCATGTGCAGAGCAGCACAGTTCTCAACAGCGAGATCCTGGAAGCTGTCTACACTCCGTCCACAGATGAATGGATGAAGAATACGTAGTACTGACACACAGAGGAGTACTACTCTGCCCTAAAGAAGGGTAAACATGAGCACCTGTGGGAAAACAGATGCACCTTGAGATGATAGTGTTAAGTGAAATAAATCAGACACACAAGCTTAAATATCACATGGCTTCTTACACGAGAAACTCAAAATACAAATAAACTAAAGAGGAATATAAAAGACATGACAGGAAACAATGAGCTAGCTTTTCTTGTTTTTTGTTTTGTTTTGTTTTGTTTTTTGTACCAGGGATAGGACTCGGAACCTTGTGCTTGTGAGGCAGGCAGTGGAGCCCCTGAGCCAAAATGTCCCGCCCTGAGCTAGATTTTTTGCAAATGGGAAGGGGACCAAGAGGTGGGAGGAGTGGGTCGAAGGGGAGGGAAAGAGGCTAAAAATAAGTAAGTTGTTTGAGAGACAGGAAGAGGGAGGAGGTGAGCACCGCAGTAGCAGCCGTCGCTGATACACAATGCCCAGTGTGCCAGGCAGTTTCTAGAGTTTGATATGAAACTGCTTAATCCTCACAGTAACATTATGAGATAGACTAGGAGATGACCTGAAGGAAACTGAGTCACAGAGAGGTGAATAACCGTGGAGTTGAAACGTGGACTCCGCAGGCTGCAGACGGGGCAGTGAAGGCACTGGGGGGAGGCTGAGGATATGGAGGTTTTAGCTGCAGACGGGTTCCAAGAGAATCCTCTGCAACTCCGCCCAAAGCCGTGTGGGCCACACGGTCAGCAGCGCTGGACCCACCCACCCGCTCCTCCCGGCTGCTGGCACAAGAACAGACCAGAGGACTGAAGGAACAAAGCACAGAGAAGACACAGGCACAGCATCTGGCACCTCAGCCATCTGACTTTTGAAAGGGGCTAAAAACAAAGGCCAAAGAAAAGCCAGCCTCTTCGCAAATGGTGCTCAGAACACCGGTTACCCACGTGCAGAAAGGATCTAGATCCCTGTCTCTCACCCCGTGTTAAAATCAAAGAAGAATGGCGCGAGGCCTAGGTATAAAAGCAGAAACTGAGTTTTCTGAAAGGTAAAAGAAGAAAAATACTTGAAGACACAGTCACAGGTGAGGACTTCCTAAACAGAACTCCGAGTACACAAGACATAATACCAGGAACAGGCAGGCATGGTGGTGCAGGCCTATAATCCCAGCACTCAGGAGGCTGAGGCAGGAAGAGCACCTCAAATTGGAGACCAGCTGGGGTACACAGTGAGTTCAAGGCCAGCCTGGACTACACAGATTCTGTCTCAAAAGGGAAGGAAGGGAGCGAGGGAAACAAAGCAAAGAAAGAAAGAGAAAGGAAAGAAGGGAGAGAGAGAAGGAAAGAATGAGGGAGAGAGAGAAAGGAAGAACGGAAGGAAGGGAGGAGAGGGTGGGGAGAGAGGGTGTGGAAGTTGTGGTCTTCCAAATCGCTATTACTTCTTCTTTTGTTGGTACCAGGGATCGAACTCAGGACCTCGCACTCTCCAGGCAGCCACTGTGCCACTGAGCTAAGTCCCTGGTCCGCTTCTTTCACATTTGCTTCAAAACTAGTCAAGATTTTACAGTATGTGTAATAACGCCACCACCTGAAGCTGCTGCTCATCCCTGCTGCGTGACGTTTCTGCTTTTCGGTCACCGGGCCGTTGTGTGTGTGTGTGTGTGTGTGTGTGTGTGTGTGTGTGTGTAGCTATAAGCTATTGCTAAAAGTTTTCAGGATTCTTTGAATCCTGAGATGAAGACTTTTCTCACAGAAGCATTTACATTTGAATCGGTGAGGAACCCTGGGGGAATTCAAGATTCAGACCACTTGGAAAGAGCTTGAGAGAGGCAAGGGGTCAGCGCACGGCAGTCCACACTGCGGGGGAAACACCGGCAGCGCCGCTGACAGCCCTTGGCCGCTCCTCACCCCACACAGCACAGCCCACTCACGGTCGGTGTGCTTGCAACGAAATACCTGCCGTGCAAAACAGAACAACCTGCAGCAATGCCCTAGGGTTCTGGGATTTTTGTTTTTGTTTTTGTTCTTTAGAAAAAACTTTATCTGCAGTACTTATGATAGCTTCTGAGAATGCAGACTATGAATCTCTGTTCTACCCTGTCCTCAACAGAAGAGACACAAGGCCAGCCTGCCCTGTGCCCGGGAACAGCTAGCACTGCGCGTCCTCGGGCCCCTCTCTCCTCAACAGGCAGAGCCATACAAAGAATCACAGGGAGAGTCACTGGTCTACACCCGGTGTCAACTGCAACTCAGGATCATCTAGGAAACACGCTTGTCGGTGGTGACAGGGCCACTGATTACCAAAGCACGGCCCGGAACAGGAAGGAGACCACAGCTACCCAGGAAGGGGTGGCTGATGACCTGTGGTCGGCACAGACCGGTGTCCCCACAGAGCCCGGCGCTCAGCCCTCCCAGCGTCCCCCAGCCACGGTCACAGACCCAGAACACCCTGCTCTGGGGGCCACACGGCGCTCTCCACAGACCCGAGAGGGAAGCGTCAGCTTTACCCCAGAGCAGAGCTGCAGGGACAGGAGTCCACACAGCCCAAGGGGTACGGCGGAGACCCTGACTGCCGCCAGATTTTCCCAAGTGGGTAACAGCTGTGAACAAAGAGAGCTGCACGCACATTAAGAAGCCACACACTCCTCTTTGGGAACTACGTTCTTCTTTTTTGCAAAGT